ACATGTTCAATGCCTGACCACCCTCACGGGGCACTATTTTTTTTCTTAGTATCTAATCTGAATCTCCCGTGTCTCAGCGTAGAGCCATTTCCTCTGCTCCTGTCCCTGCAGGCGCGGCAGCAGGGGCCGGCCCCTCCTCAGTACACTCTCCCGTCAGGAGAGCGATGAGGCATCCGCTGCCCAGGCCTGTGGAGCAGGGTAGGGCTCGCTGGAGCCCGGGCTTTGATCCCTGCTCCCCCAGGGCTTCTCCCCCTCCTCCTGTGCTCGGAGAAGAGCGGCTGTGCTCCGGTCACCTGCGGAAATGACTCCAGGCTCCCTGACCTTGGCTGTGCTGGTGGCCCCGGCAGCAGCCAGGGACAGTGGCTTGGCCAGCGTGTCTGCTGGCAGAGCCGCAGGTCTCGGGGGAGAAGAGCCAGCCTGCCGGCTCTTGGCAGGGCTGGACGGTGACCTAAAGGCGCTGGCAAGTGCTTGTCTGAGGCAAATCCCTGTGTGATCCAGTACTACCCCTTTTTGGCAGTGAAATGTCGTGTTGTTGGCACTTCCTAGCCCAGGCTAAGGAGGCCTTTCCAGGAAAATAAGGCACTAAAAGATCAGTCTTGAACTACAAAAGAGATTCAAAGGAAACTATTAAAAGTAATATGAATAGTAGTGTTAGAAACACTACCTCAGGGAGTCTGTGTAGGCACACAAAAGTTGCAAAATCTGTAATACAGGATTCTGTAATACTGACAAGACATACTTCTGAATGTATTGTGAAGTCAGCACAATCCTTAGAGGTAACCTGTATTTTTTTTCTTTCAGTTCACTTGAAGTTCACACTTTACAAAATTAGGACTGGCTAGCTCAGGGTATTGCTCATGGGATTCACCTTTAGGTACATAGGCCAGTCCAGGACAGCAGCAACAGAAACAGCAGTGCTGCCCTGGGGACAACTGAGGTTAACTGGGTGGTGGTTCCAGCCTATTCCAATTTATTTGACAAAGATTTCTATTAGGTTTAGTAGGCCAAAGAGTAAATTGCAGAAGTAGCTAGATTATACTTGCTGCTGGATACGGTTCTCCTAGATCAACATTGAGACACGCTAGTGAGCAAACACATGCCAGTTTGCAAACCTGATTGGCATATTTCCTTCAAATAGTTGGATAGACTTTAATATGAACTGGTAGAGCAGTTTAGCTCAGAAAACATGCACCAGTACAAAGCCAACAGCCTTTGACATAGTCTCTCTCTCTGTGTTCAGGAACAATGCCTCCTTCTTTGCTGATGTTAAAGAATATTTTATGGCAGGGAGCAATATAGAAACATGGCACTAGAAGAGGAAGCAGAGTTCTACTGCCAGCGGGCCATTATTTAAAGAATAAATCATCAGTGCCAGTGACCAAAAATTTTCAGATTCTGGGCTCAATTTGTAGGAGAAAATATGACTGAAAGTGACTAAATTTTATCTAGAAATCAGAGATTATAATCATAAAGCTGCAGGAAGTAGATTTTATAAAGTCCCTCTCTAGAGCAAAACATGCTTTTTACATTGCAGTATGTGGCCTCATTTTTAGTCCTATAACCAAGCAACTAAAATATTATTCCTCAAAAATGTACATGTGTATTGTAGATTTGTTTTTTATTTTCTGACAAAAAAAATCCACATTATGCTGATGATCAATTTTTTAAAGACTATTTTTAGAATTTACTAGGTTTTAAAAATCTTTTTAAATGGAAAAGCCCTGTTCTCTTTCTCCAGATATATCTGAAGAAAATCCAAAGCTTCTTAGATAATTTACTTATAAAATGAGGAAACAAAACTTGACTGTCAGCTTGGTCAATAGTACAGCCAGGAAAGTATCCAGGAGAGTACCACCTATCTGCAAAGAAATTCACATTCTCATCACAGTCTATCTTTCCTGTAGAGACCATGACAGATGATTTTCCATCTCTAAATCTATATATTTTTGTAGTGTATTACATTATTTCTTGATGTTGGGTGTCTGCTAAAACTGAAATCAATAAAAAATGTGAAATGCTTAAAAACTTCAAATATGTTTTTCAACTAGCTATATAAGGCTTCTTCCCTTACAGTAACGCTGGTCATGCTTGAATTCCCTAAGCAAATTTAATCAAAATGTCAAAGATCTACCAAAATTCCTTTTAAAAAAACCCAAAAAAGAAAGTGAGATTTAATAAATGTAAATGATAAAATGTAGTTTTCTCTAAAAAAGATAAATTTCCAATATGCTTTGGAACCACTTTACTTATTTTCTGTAAGTCATTGCATTTTCCTTTTCTTTGCCAAGAACTATCAGAATCATAGCTGTCCATGGCTGACCAGTTTTGTGGTCCAAGAAGAAATCAATGACCATCAAAAGCTTTCTATTGTTGTTACTTTGTAAGTACAAATCCTTTTCTTCCAGCAGGCATAGTAGCAAACTGTACAAATAGCTTTTTTTTTTTTTTTGCCAACAACCCAAGAATGACATCAGCGCACTGAGGCAGTGTTTTGGCTCTGAATGTCTGAATGCTTTGATACCAAACTCAGTTCCTGATGCTTTATGGCTCTTTCTTGCTTGAAAGCCCTCTGGCAGAGAGGTTTCTCCATTTCACAGAGTGACATCAGTGGTTTGGACACTCACTTCTCACCAGGCAGGTGTGTGCAGAGCTGCATTTCCTGCAGGCCTGGCTGATGTGGCTGGGTTATGTGGCGTGTTGGTGATTCTGGCTTTGCTGAATGCTGTGACTCTCGTTTGGAGCACTCCCTCAGTAACCAGTAGCAACCAAGCCACTGCTGTCCTTTGACATTACACCGTACTCACTACATGCTGCAGTTAGTGCACAAAAAAGGGCCTTTGCAAATCCATCAAAAATCACAAGGATGTAGTTAAAGTGTTGGAAAAGAAATTAAATTTAGCAAAATGTGTAATTATAGTTTAGCTATGAGTTGTGTGTGAATTGGTTTGTTAAAAGCAGTTTTGTAGCCGTTGATAGTGTGTGTGTTGGATTTGTGTGTAACCTAGCAGGTAGTCTTAGGAATTTAATAAATATTTAAACTAGTGCAGGAAAGTAAGAATGCTAACCTGTCTGGAGGCAGCATACAATGCTCTTAGAATAAGATAAGCAGAAGATTTATGATCTTGCTTGTGAACTAAGGAATGTATCACAAGGGGACTGTGACTAGGCAAGGGGAACTGTTTCTTGGAGACCTTGTTATGAATCGCATGTATAAAAAGGGAAGCACCCATATGTGAAATTGGGGGCTCGGACTTGGGACGTTAGTCCGCCGGCACCCCCGGGCCCTTAATAAAGCACCCACAAAACTTATCCGAGTTTTGTGTCATTTATCAATCGGGCAACAAAAGCAGGATCTTTAACAACATCGCTTTGATCCCTGTATGGGCTATTCACTTAAGAGTGAATCTGTATCTATTTTACGAAACACAGGGCACTGAACGTCGTGGTAATGCCTGTTTGGGTCATTATTAGTTCTAAAGGATGGTTCCAAGTCCCTTCAGACTTGGCAGTTTGGGAATGGTGTTGTTATCATGAAAACAGGTTAGTATCAGTATTCATATGTTAGTGTTAGTTCTGGTTTCAAAAAAATTTTTTTTTCTTAGGCTGAAATATCAGTGTTATTATCAAGAATTCATGGCTTTCAATACAGCAGTGGAGGAACAATGAAACAGAAGAAGTAAAGCCAAATGTTCTGAGGATCCTCAAGGGTCCCAACTCAGTGATCCTTGTGGGCGCCTTCCAACCCAGAATATCCTGCCATTCTGTGACTGGCATCCCACAGGCTGAGCCAGCCGGTGCTTTAGAGCCATAACCACTCAGGCAGCATTTCCAGCACGGATCGCTCCGTTCCAGAGCGTGTGCCCCCTGAGGGAGCCGTCCCGGCGGAGCGGAGCCGGCGGCTGCCGCAAAAGGCCCGTTTGCAGCAGCGCGGCGTTTGCGGCAGCGCGGCCGCGCCGGGCCGGGCAGAGCGCGGCGGCCGTGCAGCATGCTGGACCCGGAGGGCAGTGTGGAGCACCAGCCTGCCTCCTCCTTCCCCAAAGTCCTCCTCATCCCTCTAGCCATGCTCCTCGCAATTGCAGCGCTCCTGCTCTTAGCCTTTTCCGCTACGCGGCAGAAGGAGCCTGATTTTTACACTTTCAAAGTTGTAAACATCAGGGGCAAGCTTGTGTCTCTGGAGAAGTACAGGGGCTCGGTAAGTGCGGCGGGGAGGGGCGGCTCCCGCCCGGGCAGCCCTTGCATGTCCGCGGAGCGAGCGCGGGGAAGTGCTCGGAGCCTCGGTGCACTCGGTGTGCCTCTGGGCTGCTCGCTCTGTGCCTCTGCCCTTCGGCCAACCCGTCCGGCTAACACAGGCTCTCTTCAATAAAGCGTTCGCATCTAACCCCCGTGTGTGTCCGCGTCTTCTGCTGCTGCAGCCGCCTGTAGACGTGGCAGGCAGGGAACGCTGCCCTCCTGCCGGTTGCTCTGGATTCTGCCTATTCCATTGGAAACTCAGGAAGTTTGTGTCTTTGTGTAGCTTACTTTTGGAGTTTATTTCTGTCTTTTAACTGCATGACTTTTTGTGTGTTATTCTTATTCAAATCCCGTTCCTTTTTAATGTTTTACATTAAAAAAAAAAAGGGATTTGATCCGTGGCGAATGGAGTTAACAGATTTCACCTTCGCTAGTAAAAGCATGAGACATTACAAAGTATCAGGGTATAGTGAAATTGTAACAACATCATGCAGATACTTCTCTCGCTTTTTAGTGTGACAGCAATATGAAGAAGGACACGTAGATTAAAGCACATATGCTTTTATGATGTCTTCTAAATTGTATTTGCATCTTATATTAAGTACTTTTAGGCAGAGTTTTCCATACCATTTTAAAACAATGGCATAGTTTTCCATACCATTTTGAAACAATGGTCCCTGACTATAATCGGATTTTATTTCATTTTATTTTATTAGCGGTTTGATCATCTAGAAAAGATTGGTACCTATGGAAAAGTGAAAAGAGAACTTAGCACACTTATTATACTTAATACTATAACCTCTTATAGCCCCTTTCACAAATTATAGAAGCTAAAATCAGCATAAATCCCACAAGTGACACATCTGTGATACAGTCAGGCAGTCCAGTTTCACTGCTGCCCAAAAAGGCAGCATCCCTTCTCATTTTCAGCCTTTTTTCTCCAGCTTTGTATTTACACCTTCCTTTTCCCCTCCTCAGATGTCTGAGCTCACTGGTCCAGAACAGCAGGTCACTGAAACATTGGCAGGAAGACAGAGAAGCTAAATAGGGAGATGCACATTTTCTTGAGCTCAGCAGAAATGGATACTGATGGATTTGGACCGAATGAGAGGCCTAAATCCTCTCTGGTCAAAGTCCTCATCCCCCATCATTCACAAGTGAGATACAGCAGAACCAGTCCCATGCCCACTCAAATATCTGTTGGAGAAAAACATGGAAGCTGTTTAATATTGAGCAATATTTGTGCTTTTTAAAGGAGCTCCTTCCAAAGGCTCCATCAATAAATCCTGTCACTGGGGCATGTTTTGTCTGCATGTTATCTGCTAATCTGAATAAGCAAATACCACCTGTAGCTTCTCTATCTCAGAGCCAGAATCAACATGGAAAGGAGTTAAGGGGGAACTTGGAAGAATTCCTTACAGCCACTCTGGGGGTGTTCATGCCCTCTGGAATCCCAGGAACAGGCAGGTTCAGGGTGTGGGCTGTATCCCAGGGCTATGGTTCCAGGCTGCCCTCAAGGCATGGCTGGTTTCATAAAGGGGAACTCTGGAGCTGTACCTGGGAAAGATAAACTGTTGATGAATGGTAGTCTTTGATCTCTGCTAGGCCACATGGAATAGCTTATTCCAAAAAAGCGACATTCAGCTTCTGTGTGGAATAAAAGATAGATTTGCATTCAGAGATTCTATTAATGTTCAGGCTACCTACTCTTTGATAATGTATGTGGACAATTTTAAAGAAAATTGCAGCAATAAAACACATCCCTTTCTGTCATTATGTTGTCAGAACTCAGTATCAAGACAGAAAATGGTTAATTAAAACTCCCATTTATTTCTTAAAATAAACTTGATTAAATCTGCAGTTAGATAAGTAAAGTCATAGGTTTATCATAATATTTTAAAGCTATTAAAAGAAATAAAATATTATTAAAGTGCTACGTGTGTGCTGGGGGTGTTTTAAGGAAAGTGAGTCACTAGTTAGCTCCTGGAACAATAGTCTGTTAATTGCTAAACCAGCTTTTACCAGCCTTAAGCTTTCTGGCAGATGCAGAGAAGACATGTTCTTCAATTCAGTCACTCAGCTAATTTATTTAAATAATTACTTAATTGGTAGTCAAGAAACTTACTAGGAATTGAAAAAATCCAAGGGCTTCCAGACTTAAAAAAATTAATAAAGTCTGCTAATTCTAAAACCACAAGAGCCATGCTAAGTATAAACAATCAGTGCAATTCATGACTGACAGAATCATTCTTCAATAAATCATTATTAATGTAAACTTGTGTCTATTCAGATCATTGGAACGATTTTTTTCATAGTAAGAAAAAAAAAGACTGATTGATATTAATTCTCTTTCTATTCGAGTGTATCTTGATACAAACCACAATTACCCTATGTTATATAGCAAATAAAGGGAGGACCATTACCACTGAGAAAAGAGTTCCACAACTGAAATAGATCCAAAAACTCTCTGGATCACTGTGTTGTGGAGGTCATCCTTCTGTGGTTTTTTTCCACACTACCATATAATGTTAACCCATCACTCATCTACATTAAAAATGAAGGACAGTGATTATGGTTCAACAAGAATCAAAAGCATTCAAACAAGATTAGTTTTCTATCTAATCTAATTCAATAATCTTCTCTTTTATTGCATGATCTGTATCAGATATGCTGTAAGAGGCAGTATTCTTACCAAAAATAGTACCTATTTGGGAGTCAGAGCTCCCAAACATCAACTGTTCCCTGCTGTGTTTGTGCCTATCTTGATGCAATGGTACCAATCTACCACCCAGCTCAGTGCAGTGTGCTGGGGTGGAATTAAGCAGTGTCAGTGCAGTGCCTTTGGAAATCCTGAGCCATAGGCACTATAATAATGGAAAAGCATTAGGCACTATAACAATTGAAGTATTATTTTTAAGTAAATGTTATTATTGAAAGTACTGTAGGCACTTTGGACCTGGATCCGCTGCAATCCGAGGCTGTGGCGTTCCTGGGTGTGGATAAATGCACAGCCACTGAATTGCCACACAAATATTGCTATTTGTTCCATGAAGGTGACAGCTCAGGGAGTTGGTGCCATCTGACACTTGTGGCTGGTTCTTCCATAGTCACATGGAGCCAGTTAAGAATTTCTGGGTCTAAAAACTCAGGTATCTGTTGTCTCTGCTGACAGATCCACAAAGGGTTACTTGAAGCTGAGACAGATTCCTAAATCTGTCCCAGGATTTTTCCCTAAAGAAGGCACTCTGGTGTGAGCATTAAGCAAAGCAAGAAGAGTTTTTGCAGTGTTAAATGAGTTCACTACTAGAATGCATGGGTTTTCTAAGCAAAGGGAATCATAGTTTTAAGAGGTGAGACAACAGCTGATAAAGAATTCAGCTGAAGTGAAATAATTTTTGTGAGGTCCATTGAACTGTTTGCACTGCACACTAGGTGGTGTGCTTGACTTGCACTCTCAGAGCCCAAAGTCAGGCATATTGAACTTAAATCATTAATAGTTGTAAGAAGTCAAAGTACAGCCTCTACATGAGGGCAAAAAGAGTGACTGTTATTTATTAAAAATAAAATGCAGACCAAAAAATAAATCACTGCATGAAATCACTTCTAATACCAGACATCTGAAAGATAACTCAGGAAATATTTTTATAGGATCATTTTAAACATTCATTGAGAAACACTAAGAGATCACAGAAGTTTTCATTATGTATGTTAGTTGTACTTTTAAGAGGTTTGCACTATTAAATGATGGAGTTCAGTAATGGAGAATACAGTTACAGTGAATGTATTTTTCTAAGGAAAAAAAAGAAACATAATGTGTCTGCCATCCCAAGAAATGCTGAATGTAGTTTCCACATGTTTTGGGGGAATGTGTTTGGAAGTTTGCACTGTTGTCACTGTGAGCTCTCAAGCCTTTCCCCACCATGCCAAGAATCCACTGATTTTAAACAGCTGTAAATTAAAATAGTTGTTTCTTTTTGAGTGAATCCTTTCCAGCCCTCTTTTTACCTAAAATCAAAAAAGCTTAGTTGTTTTAACTGGCAATTAATCCTTCATATCTGTTTTAATTTGATCACAATGCCTACACAACCTTATTTACCCCAAACCTCCTATGACAAATTCTTACATTACACTTCTATTTGAGAGCAGGTACCAATAGAGCTGAATTCAGTAAGGTGTATGAATACTTCTGCATCAAGAAAATCCCAAGGCTCAAGCTATAATTTAAAAAGCCTCTAAAATTTCATGTGGAAGAGCTACATGTGACTTCAGCTCTTAGTGATACAATTTATCTTTACTTCATACTAAATTACTGTTATCACTATGCTTGATAAATCAGATTAATTGAAAAGAAAATAACTGCCAATAGTTATTTTTTATGTCAGATATACAAATTCTGTTTCAAATGCTGAGAATCTGCAACAGGAATGCATCATAAAATTATTGCCTCTTCTCTGAAAAAAAAAAATCTAATGATATGCCATAACTTCAGATGTTTTAGTAAACTGAATTTAAAATTTCAGACAGAGCTTGTGTTGTCTGAATGAAAGTGATGATTTGGAGGTGAGATGGCTGCAGGTCATAGTTCATACAAGTGTACAGGGGTTGTTTAGATTGTATCCTGTTGACACACTCCACCACAAAGAAGATTTCACCAACTTGTGCTTTGAAAGATTACCTGTCTTCCAGGGGAAACAGTGCCACTCCAAATTCACTTTAAATTCAGTAGCTGGACTTCCATGATCCTTGTGGGTCCTTCCAAGTCAGGACATTCTATGACTCTGTGATAGCCATACAGTTATACAAAGTAGAAAACACACAAAGTGTCAACATTTTATGCAAGAAATTACAAATACCAACATCCCCTTAGGTTTTTCTTAACTCATTCCTGCCCCTTCTACACATCTCATCTTATGATCCCATATATTACCCAGATATGTACCTTTATATGCCAGTTGGTTTTCTGGCTTTAAAAACACTATGCTCATGTAGCCATTTATTTTTCACTAAATATGATTTGACACATCCTATTTCCTTAAATACTTTTGTATGAAAGTATTAGAATGGACTCAATTTATGTAGAAGGAGTGGCAGCTCACGAAATTTGTGAGAATAACAAAACTATAAGTCTAAAATTCTTAAAGGTAATTAAGGCTAAATTATCTCAAAAACCAATGAAACATTCTTTAAGGCTTTGAGAAACTATGATATGTATTAGTTCAGAGTTAGGTCACTCAATATCCCAAACAAATTCTGCTGTTCCTGTCGTGCTCACCTGTGTGGGAGCTCCCTCCCAGGTGGGTCTATGCTGGCAGACATTGCCTGTGCTCATATCTGACTGACAACATCCACAGGATTGAACATGATCCACTGCAGGAATGACTTCAAAGGATAATGGGCAGCCTTCACTTCTTGGAATCTCTAATTGAGGCAGTAAACCTTTGTGCAAAAACTGTTGCCATTTTGTCACAACTGAGTAGATTTACTCTAGAAGTGATGGGGAATTTTACAGCCCACACTACACAGACCAACCCCAAATCCTGTAATTGCTTCTATTAACTTCCAGGTCAAGATCTCTACATTAGCAATGATAAATGGATCAGATACTTCTGCAAGGGCACTTAATTTTGAGCAAGAAAACATGCTGCAGAGCAGATGCTTCACAACAGATAAATAAATAACAAAAAATACATTGATTTGCAAGATTCTTTCATGCGACTTGGTATCTCTTAGCTGGATAGTCACTTCTTAATTATGCTTAGAAACTGTCCAAAAGGCAGAATGGAAAAACCCAAATTCTCAGTAAACTGAAGATTAAGATTTCTTAGCAGTTGGTTGATTATCTTAATGCTTGCTAAAGAGGAATATATAAAAGAAATATTAAATCTTCCTTTTGTGAAGAGAAATCAATGTAGTTTCAAATATGCGTTCTGTCACAGTTTCCTAGACATATTTTTTATTCTTTTTAAATAATCTACCTGTTGGAAAACTGACACGTGCAACACATTTTTAAATGTGCTCTCTTGTTCATCAGGTGTCTCTAGTTGTCAACGTTGCAAGTGAGTGTGGGTACACAGACAGCCACTACAAGGCCTTACAGCAGCTGCAGAGAGACCTGGGCCCGTACCACTTCAATGTGCTGGCATTCCCCTGCAACCAGTTTGGGCAGCAGGAACCAGACACCAACAAAGAAATTGAGAGCTTTGCACGAAAGACTTATGGTGCCTCCTTCCCCATGTTCAGCAAAATCACGGTCAGTGGAGCCGGTGCAATTCCTGCCTTCAAGTACTTAATTGGTGAGTAACCTGGAATGCTGGAGGGTTGTTTCTCCTGCATAGAAGTCCTCTGACACAAAATGCCATCCAAAGAAACAGGAGATGATTTGCTGACAAAGTTGTCAGGCTTGAAGAGGTCAGAAGTCATGTAGTCCCTCCTCCTGCACAAGGCAGGAATTCTTCAGCCACCTTTGTCTTACCTTTTCAAAAGATCTCCAGAGATGAGCACACATCAATAGCAAATGTCCTGTAAAAGCTGGTCCAATAAACCTCTGCAGGCCTTGAAATTCTGTCCTCTAGGCATACAATACCCTGACCTTCCTCTTTCCACTTTGCAGCCTCTTAAGTGCCCCTCCTGTGACATGAGTGCTGCAGATTGCATTTATAAGATTCATCTCTAGGGCTGTAGGATAAGTGGAAGCAAAGCACCTCATAATTTAACAATCAAAAGTGAGACCAGGCACTAGATGATGTCCTTGAATATTCCCTTCCTCATTCCTCCCCAGCACTGGAACAGCCACACTGTGCAGTTCCTCCAGTTCCAATCTGCTTTAGAGCCAGACTGACACCTGAAGAGGTTTTGCTGGTTCTTACCAGCCAGCAAGGCAGGATGCTCCCTATCAAGGAACTACTTTTCTTGCACTGAACAAATGCTCTAAATACCATTTAATGCTATATTAAAATGTCAGTCTTAATCCAGTGTGAAGGAAATGTCTTTCAGCAATGAAATACAGTAAAGCCCAGTGTGACACAGTATCACTTGAGCTGCATTCTGCAAGGACCACATCCCTGCTGCTTCTCTCCAGCACCACAGTGTTGTCCCAAATCCCTCAGAATTTAAGGGAGCGTGGATATTATTTTTGACTACCCCAAGCTCACCTCCTTCCAATTGTCTGTAATGAATCACTTTGCTAGCCAAATTTCCCTGTAATCCTCTTCACATCCTTTCATTTCTGTTTTGCAAAGGAGAGATGTTCCTGCAGACATGTCCCAGGAAATGCAAAATTTGTGTTTCCCTGCTCGCCTGCCCTCAGGGGCAGCCTGCTGGAGGCTGCATCTTTATTCAGCACAATGACAACATAGTTAAAAGTATGGGTCTGGCTGTGTCTTGATGATACATTGAAGTAACTTCTGATTCCTTGGAAGGTTTGTCCAGTGTATAATCAGTGGAAAAAAAGATGCTAATTGTCTGTAGCATCTGTACTTGTGCTTTTAGGGGCATGAGGTTCCTGGTCTATTTGAAAGTCCTGGAAATTTTGTTAGTCACAGAGCAGAAGAGTAAAGGGTAAGAGTGTGACTCATGTAAAATGGTATGTGATCAGGAAGGGGAAAACTGCAGTACGCATTTGTAGATAAAAAATAGGTGGAAACCTGGAACAATTACTTTGCTATTTCTTCATGCAGCATTTCTTGAAACAATCTTCTGAAGCACATGGTACTGGATGCTTTTTGAGGGAAAATTCTGGATAAGTAAATAATCAGTCCTAGTAAAGCTATATTGTCATGTCAAATTTCATTTTCCTATCAGTGTTCAACTCTATCAGATATATCTCTAGAGCACAGCGCCACACACAAATGCACTCACACACTTCAACACTGATTATTGTGCTTTCTCCTGGCTCAAGCTTCCCTGTTTCCATTAGTCTCCAAGGGACCACTGTCTAGTTAAAGCTGTCTGTCAGAAAATTAATCTTATTCAGTCTGAACTTCCTCTTAATTTTACATTCCTTCTTCCTCTGCAAGGTTAATCATCAAATTGACATGAAGAAATGTCAGGAATTGGCTAATGTGGTTTTCTAACATTTAAGTGGCTTTTATTTTTTCTTTCCCCTGTAGCTTCTACAGGAGAAGAACCAACCTGGAACTTCTGGAAATACCTGGTGGACCCCAATGGGAAAGTAGTAAAGGCCTGGGACTCTACTGTCTCTGTTGAAGAAATAAGGCCCCATGTTACAGAACTTGTAAGGAAAATCATTCTAAAGAAGAAAGATGAATTATGACTTTCAAAAATCTCAGCATGTCAATTGCATCTTAATTGAGAATTAGGGCTGGACTTTGTCTTTTCACATTCCAAAAGAGAGGCTATAGGGAAAGGAAATTATGACCAGCTGAATCTGTATTCGCCATCTAAGAATGCAGAAACCAGCAAGTTAACATGGTCAAAGGAATATGATATTTTTCACTGACCAAATTCAGTTTGAGTTTTCTAGGAAAGAAGAAATCTTCACCAATTGTTTCTTCCCCAATTCAATTATTATTTGTTGGTAACACTAAAGGAAGTTAGTTCATATAGGAAGAAAGATCAGAATAATGAGAATGTCCTAGCTGTGATCTCCCTGTTATCTGCAAATCTGTTGTCATATTTTGATTGAATAAAATAAATAAACTGAATAAAATAAACAGCAGAAATTGCATGATTGACTTTAGGTGTGTGCTAGGAAGAGGGCCAAAACAGATAACTTCAGACCAGACAGATTTTGCATGTTCCAATGACCACAGCCAAACATAGATAATTTCATCTGTATAGAGAGTTTAGAAGGGCATGGGAGAAACACCTCTATAAAATTTAAATGAAAGAAGGATGAAGACAAAGGCCCTGTAAAAATTCTCCAGAAGCCATGAGATGAATTCTGCATTTTTTTCACCTAGATTATCAGATGATATTTAAATAGTCATTTGAACATCTATAGGACCAGAGTCTACATGAAATAGCTATTTCTTTCTTCTACTAGCATTTTGCCTTAGAATTACTCTTCCTTCATGAAACTGATGTTAAATTTATTTTCCAGTTTATGACACTATCCAATTTTGCTGCATGTACAGACAAACATCAGACAATCAAAATTTTTTTTCTATGGAAATAATTTTTCAAATATTTAATTCTTGCATAATGTTATATAGTTTAATACCACATTAGTGTTACAGATGCTTAATGGGGCCTTTTTCAACTGTAGCAGCCAGGCATCTGCTCCGACTTCAGAAGTCTCTAGCTCATGCCAAAATAATAACACTAACATTTGCAGCCTCATTGTTCCTTGACAGAAACCCTTTGAAATCTTCTCAGGAAGAACTCTTTTTATCTCAACAGAAACCCAATGTTCCCATCCTGTTAACCTCAGGATGCCTTAAGAAGAGTCTAGCCTTGTCCAGCTGCAGTATTATTGACAAGTGAAAGCTTTTTTGTGCTTTCTGATGCTTTCAAGGAGCACAAGCAATGTTTGTCCATATTGTTGTCAGGGCCCATGTGTACAAATAAACCTTAAGTGACCCTGCCATGGTAAAGAGTTTTTCCAGCTCCTCAGTGCCATTAGAGCTGTTCAGCATCCAAACAGGCTCTTGTTGAAATCAAAGGCAAATATTATGGCATGGCATGGCCTGGCTCACAGGACAAGAGGGGAAAGAAGAATACTGACTGGACTCATTCTGTGGAGTTTTCCATGGAAGTAAGAGCTCAGGGACTTTAGGATTTGCAGGAAGAACACGAAAGGCAGAGATTATACTGCACA